CTTGCCCCATAATGTCTTGGTTCATAAACCAGTCTCATCCAGAACAGAAGCATCTTGTACTGAACATGTTGTGAGTCACATGCTTATTGTCGCACTCCTACAATCTGTTAACATTACATTTACAATCTGGTAAATAGTAAACAAAGGCAAGTGAAGGGCCGACCGTCTGGCTACAATATGTTGACATTAAAGTTCATTAATGCTAATGTTCCCTAATGCAAACTCTAAACCTAGTATTTTCCTTCTAAGAACTGGAATAACTGTTCTTAACGATGCTGATACTACAGTATACTCATTAACAGCACAGGAATAGTTTGTGCAAGAACATCAAAGGAGCGTGCAGTGTAGGCCTACTGTTAAATCAAAGATTAGGAAGTAAAAACTTTCTCCCTGACAAAGAGGGAGGAGGGGGGCGAGGAGGCAGCTGTGAGTTGACGATAAGACCCAGAAATGCATACGTTTTCATGGCTCAGTCACCCCCACCAATGCGCACTATATTTCTGCTCCCTGCTCTAAAAGAAACCTCCGTCGTTCATGTGCTCGGCCTGCCAAACCCCCCCGAACTGTTGGAGTGGAGTGTCGTCTTGGATAAAGTCGTCTGTGCCGTGAATAAAGGGCAGGAATGCATTAAACGCCCAAATCCTTTCGTTTGCAACGGGTACCCGGGCTTTGTGATTGCTGAAGTGCACTGCTTTAAAGTGAAAAGGCTTGTTCCTCGCCGTAGTCTTGTTTCACTCAGCACCGGCACATTCGGGTGTATCTGTGATTGCTGCTGCTTTTTTTTTTTTTTTTTTTTTTTCTCCGTGACATGACCATTGTGTTTTAGGTCTATTTTCCTGGGCTTCTTCTCCTCTTCTCCTGTTTAAACCATGAATTGAGAATGTTTTCTCATGATTTCGAACACTGACGTTTTTTAATCCCTCTAAACAGGTAGGACTCCTTAAGTGCCTGCACAGCTAAACATTTGATCATTTGGGCTTTCAGGTGAATTGGTGTTGGACTTGATCTGTTTCAGGTGCCAGATATTATCACAATGATTACTCACCCATTGCATTTCTTCTTTTTTCTCTCACTCACTCGCTCACTCTCTTATATGGACAGATGTGCTCTGCATGGTCAGAGGACGTTTTGCTGTGAGCTACAGGGTGAGGACAAAGCCGTTGTGGAGCAGGTCTATTTTTGGGCTCTTAATGGACCTGTTCACATTCTCTAGTGGAGCAGCTCTAGCTGAGCGATCTTCACCAGTCTTTAACCTGATTACATTATCCCCTTCTTGACTACTCCATTGTTTTTACCCATTTTATCTGTCCCTTATCTCTCTTCCTCGCCACTCCGTTCTCCAAGTTTGCCTCATGCTGTTTCTATTAATTAGATCATGTTAGAGGGGCGGCAACATTACAAAAATATTTCTACCTCATTTGGCTATTCTTTGGTCCTTTGCCTTTCCTCTCAACCCCTCCTGTAAAATGTCCCTGGATTCTGCCGGTGCTGCTTCTTTGTGATCGTGTTTTTTAGGCTGAATCAATGAAAAGCCTCCCTGTTCATTGGTGCTGAGTCAGTCAATCATCACATTCAGATGAGTAGATACACTTAATGGATTTGTTTTGTTTCTTTTCCTCCCTTGTGCACATGACTCTCCAGTCTAGGCCAGGTTCTTCCTCTCCCTATCAAGGTCTAATAGAGTAAAAATCTGACCTTAAAGCAATATGCCACTCTGTGATTCTTTTTTTTCACTTGTGTGGAAAGTCGGCCTGCTTAAGAACAAATTGTAACAATGGTGGGAGCGAAGCAAAAGATGTAATTGTGCAGATTATTGGCTTGGCATGCTGCCTTTAAGCTTCATTACATGATGTCAACACATTTCCTTTTGCTTATCAGTACATTCATTTTTGTAATTCTACGAAATGAGCTTTTGTTTACTCAATCAGTATCTTGGTTAAATCAGAACATTATTCGACAGACTATTGCCTGGAGTCACGAATGATGGGTTTATCTTTTAGGAAGATCTAAGTATTCACGTGTTCATAATTGTCCCATGTCATGGCCGACATTCAAGCATCTTCTAAAATTCGACCACGGTCAAGAAGAATGATCTTTCACACTAAAGATCCCCTCAATAGGCCAAATGTTGGTTCTTGGCTCTCCACTTCCAGCATCTTCGTCTCCCATCATGTTCCTCAGCCTCTGAAACTCCCACATCCTTCCTTTTGGGTACTCCTCGCTCCCCTTTTGTCAAGAGCACCACTAAGATGAGGAGAAATTCTCTCTTTACTTGTGCTTGCAAAGGGCAGATACATCTGCAGCCACAGCTTTGTGACATTTTCTTTTGTCGCTGACGGTTAGAGGAGAAAGGGCAGATATTGAGAGAAACCCCCCCCCCCCCCCAAAAAAGCAAAGATGAACTGAAATGTTAACTTACTTTGAGGCAGAGAAGAGCAGTGAGAGTTAAGTGCTTGCTCAGCACGGTGGTTATATACCTCCCTCTCTCCTCTGTCTCTGCCACATCAAACCGTCTTCCACTCTGCCCTCCAACTCCTCTCAAGGTTGATTTTTGTTTCCTCCTCAGACGTCTGGGTGAAGCGCTAAACAGAGATGTTATATCTCTATCTGAGTGAGTGAGTGCGCCCTATACAGCCTCCCTCCACACGTAAATAGACAAAGTAAAAAGTGCTGTTTTGTGTTTGCTTAGCTGAGCCAGGTTTTAAAACACTGGCACTGATCTGAGAGGCAGCTAAAGAAGAGTAACATATCGATGCCATGAAATGCCAAAAACCAACAAAAAAAAATCAAATTTTGGCTAGCCTACTCGTAGCACTGCTCTAACTCCTGCTCACCGTCTTCCTCCTCTTTCTATTCCTTCTAAGATGGTGATCCTTAGTCTCCCTCACTTCACTCCTGTCTTCCTGACAAAAAGCCTTCTCTGCCGGGGTGGACAGCTAAGACGAATGATTTTGTTGGCTGTGCAAAGCGGGGGGTAATTTGTAGATGAGAGCGGCGCTTCAGAAAAGACTCGCCGCACTGAAATTAGTGGTTGTCAAATGCCGCACGTCTCCGCTGATGGCCCAGCACGGCCCCCTTATGGTAATATGGCATTTCAGCAGGAGGAAATAGAATTAGGAGGAGGGGTGCTGCTGCTGCTGGTTGTTGGGTAGCATTGTCACGTGTGCGCGCACTTTTTTTTATTTTTCTCTCGCTGTCAGAAAGATGGCGTTTCTCGGAGGAATCGGAGGTTGCAAATAGCACACAATATATTTGCTTTCACTGTGAGCTGTGTGCAGAGAACTAATTTTCTAACCCACAGAATGTCGGCTCTTCTTTACTCTGTTCTTTTGGACAAGCCACGCATAATCACTTGTAGTTTACTGTTCCTGTTTTTCATATTCCCATCACTGTACGATGTGTCACTGCTCATATGCAAAGCCTGGCTGTGGACTGGAGCTGCTGATGTTGGTTAGGACTGATGTAATCTGTCTTCTGGGCGAGCTACCATGAGGATGAATTCATCTTTAGGGACTACTGGGAGGATCTGTGGACCACAGAGTGCTGAGGTCATGTTATCGGGGAATGAGTCGCTCTGGGCCGAGTCTCCTGGCATGTTTTTGTACGGGGCCGATGTGTCACGCAGGTGTTGTCCACACAGCTGCAGGCCAGATGTTTGTGTGTATGCTTGTCAGTGTCCGTGAGATCATCTATCACACATTTGTCAGTCTGTCATGGACGACATGAAGAGAAAACAAGTTCTCAGCTCAACAGGAAAGCCCTGCAAACTGATGCCATGGCTAAATCCATTATTTTTTGGTGTCTTATTTTTATTTTAAGTGTATGATTATCCTAACTTAAAACAAAGACGAGAACTAAAACCTAAATATGCGAGTTTGACCCACCTTACAATTCTGCGTTAAGTTAACTATAGATGCCCTCAGAAAAGCCTGCCTGACCTCGAAGCCCCAGTGTCGGGTTCCCCAGCTCCAGTTTAATATAGAGCTCCCAACTGCTCAAAAGTCTCATGAGAGATGGAAATAGCGCTTAACAGCCGCTCCCCCCTCCACCTCACACACGTCATTCCTTGAGGCCTCGCCACCCCTACCACCTTGTTTCAGCTGTTTCACAAAAACAAGCTTCATAGGTCTTCGTAGATGCCTCTACATGTTTCTCCTTCCCTTCCACTGCTGATGAACTTCTTCATTCAGCAAAGGCATGACTGTTTGTATACTGATGGCGTACGTGGGAGGTTACAAAGTGTGACCAGTGTACGTCCTCTATTAACTGGGTGTTACAACCGCAAATATCCGCATTCAACTGTGAAACACTCACACATACACACAAACAGGACTGGAACGATGAATGAATGCTTGTTTTTTTTCTTTTTTTATCCTGCGTAGCACAGCATTTGTCTGCTGTGTGAATTTGTATGAGCTACGGCGGCAGTCAAAGTGGTGTGTGTGTGTGAGTGTGTGAGAGAGAGGGGTCCATTAGTTTTATCTGACGGAGGGATCAGATCTGAAGGCGTCTCTTCTCTGCACCTGCCCAGCCGCTCACACTGGCTGCTCTATTAGGGAGCAGCCACAGGGGAGTACCGGGCAGAAGGGAAAGACGCTGGACTTAACCCCTAAATAATGCAGCGCTTAACTTTTGTCTCTGGCACATGGAATAACTGGCACACAAACGCACATTAACAGCTTTCAGTCGTAGCAGAGAAAATGACCATACACTGCAGGTATTAAGAAGCATCCATGCTTGTAGTACTCCCCCAAAACACACATACTCTGTTATTTGTCTATAAAAGGCAAACAATACTCGAGGCAATTGACAAATTTGTTTGTTCCTTTTTTTTTTTTTTTTTTTTTTTTAACAACAGATTTATATGCTACATTAAGCCTTTGCCTAGAAGTAGAAATCAATATGACAGTGATATATCAAATACAAAATGTAAAAAGAATGTTTGACGGTGGTCTTCCATTCAGTTGCTTACCCAGTTGTACCCGTTTGTGTGTTTTCAGAGATCAACAGAGTGCGTAAAGACATGTACAGCGACTCAGTGAATGGCCTTGTGGACAGACACCCCCTGGAGCTGCCTGAGCCTCTCGGACCCATCGTCCACCTGCAGGAAAAACTGTTTGTGCCTGTCAAAGAGTACCCTGATGTAAGTAGCTGCTCCGCACACCTCACACTAATGCACACGTATCACAGTGCCAGTATTATTGGTGCGTTTGCCTTAAATTCCTATATTTGTGGACACACGCACTGAAAGCTGGTCCTCTCACCTTTGGCCATGCATCCTTTCTGTTGAACGTTCTTTCTTACTCCCAAGTGCAACTCCTTCTCCTTTTTGCTCCCTTTTTTCATTTATAGTCTGTAAACGCAGAACTCGTGACTATCTTGACTGTTTTGTTAGTTTATGAAACAGTTGCTTATAACAACTAAGTTGTTAATGGACTCCCGTTAAAGCTATATCAGGTGGCAGTCTAAATGGGTCCCGGTCTCATGCTGGCGTGTTTATGGGCCGACTCACTTTTAGATTAGTGCTGAGAGCGAGATAAGGAGGGGATTGAGAGGAGGGGTGTCATGAAAAGTAAAGTGCAATTCCATAAATATTCAGTTGGAAGGAGATGGGAATCTTTTAGGCTTACCACTCGCATTGGTTAGAGCTGTGGCGTAGACAGTTTGTTGTTCTGGAAAGGAAAGACGCACACATTTGCATGCACACACAGAGCTGGGAGAGAAAAGCACACGATGGAGCTATCATGCTGGCTGTAGAGATGAGGAGGATGGTGGCAACAGAGGCGAGTCAGCATAGCTTTGTCTGAGGAATGATTGATGTATTTTTGTCTCCTGTATGTAGAGCCATGTATTGCGTTTGCAGGGTTTTGACCAGTCAGCCACCTTTCTGTCCTCATGGTAATCTTTGACGCCCACGTGAACGGTCGTGTCACATCTTGAGGGAGCAACGCTTCTCTTCGTAATCCCAGCAGCTTGCGGCGAGGAAGTGAATGGAGGGAGGTGACGAAGGATAAGAGACACTGTAGAGCAGGGCGAGGCTCAGCCAGGCGTGGATTGCATTTTACCCCTGACAGAATTGATAAAGGGCACCAGGGACTGGCTTGGGATCAGCTTAGCTCCAGCTGTTCCCTCAGACCAAACCCGGCCTCTGAACTTAAGCTAAACCAACCGACCACAACACACAGTCTGTCACCTTTCATCTCCAGTGCCAGGGCTTCAGCTCCTTGGGCTGTCCTCTAATTAGCTGTGAGAATCATACATTTGCACTTGGTGCTGATTTTCTGTGCTAATTGCAATGATTTCCATTGTCTTTATTTCTACAAAATATTGGTATTGTATTTCATAGCAAGACTTAGTTTACCGGCGCAAGCATACCTTTGTGCTTCTACGATTACATACATTCCATTTGCTTGTGATCGGGTTGTGCGTTAAGCCTGTAAATGGCCGTATACATTTTAAAGGAGAGTGAGGGAGATCTTTGGGGAGCAGTGGGCGCCACCTGTGGCTGTGAGGACACTCGTGGAATGAGACTCTCTCACTTACACACGCACTATTAAAAGTGTGGCATCCTCGGATGACCCCTGTGTTCCCTCTGCTCGATATATGATGCTGTTCTGTGCAGAGCTGCAACTCGGTACTGTGTTTACGAGCTGCCGGTAAAGCTACTTATTAGGCTTCGCCCTGGTGGCCGAGATGACTCACTGATGACCTGAGACACACACACTCATTTATACACACACTACAATACACATTCATGGTGATGTAAAATGGCGCATATTTCACTTGGGCATTTTTCCACTCTATTTAGGCACACACATGCACACCACTTCCACCCAAGTGTGGTCGTTAAGTCTGCTGCAAAAAGAGGAAAACAGATTTGTTATGTATGGATGTGATGATTGGAACCTGGGGAAATCAGCAGCAGGTCTAAATTGAATTATTTTTCTTACATCTCCCGTTTGGGACAAGATTAATCTGAAGAAACTGTTATTACGTACACAATGAAATGCACATAATGTTAATTTTAGAACTATATTGACCTTATTCCAAGTCCAATTATATCAGTGTAAGTTGTGATATGTAGTGCAGGCGTACCTTTTACCTCCTTTCTGTTTTCACTGCCCTTTGGAATTTAGAGCAATTGGGGTCGACAGAGACAAAATTTAATTTTGAATTTCATCATTTGAACAGCAGACAAAGGCAGATGACGTTTTACTGTGTGTTCAACGGACTTCCACAGAGCTGAGCTCCGTAGTTTGAGAAGCAAAAACAAGCACAGCCCGAGACGCAGCGTCTCTATATCCAGTTAGTGTTTTAAAGGAGGATAACGACGGTGGGGTGAGAGAGGAGAGGATGTAGGATCGGTGTGACAAGGAAGAGAGGAAATAACTGATGAAGGAAGAGAAGAAAACTGTAACTTCCTATCCCCATCTGCCCACTGCTAAAGGGATAGGAAACTGTAATGATGATTATTAGACCGGGGAATATCCCCCCTCTCATTTCCGCCTGATTTGCCAGATACCCCGCATCAAGAAGGCTTATGCATGTGCGTGCGTGTGTGTTTGTGTGTGTCGGTGACGCAACTCTAGGTTATTCCAAGAAAGCAGGGAACGATGGTCCAAGCCTCGGTTTTGTTTTCTTGGCAACATCTCCCCTACCACAGAAGATTTGTCACCATTCAAACAGTTTCTTTTCCTTCTTTTCCACACTTCCCTCGTCATTTTGGGACACACGCCATCCACTTGCTTGCTTGCCTCTCAGCTTCCACTTTCATTTAAAAAACTCAACTCCCACTTACCTTTTCCCTGCTGTATCCTTACGGCGAGGTCACACTCGCTCGATGGGGCTTTTCTCTGTCTCACCTACGCGTCCCCTGCTCTGGTTTCACCAGTAGATAATTTGATTTTTTTCCTGGTGCCAGGATTCAGTGCAGCGTGTCACTTCTACCAAAATAACTAGCCTTGCCAGCTACTCTAATTCCTCTTAAGTGTGTCCCTCATCTGGCCCGTGTGTACTTGCCTGAGTGCCCCACAATTGGCTGTAAATGTGTTTGTGTGTGTCTGTGTGTCTCTATCAGTCTGTCTGCCTGCGTGTCTGTCTCCCTCCCCGTTCTTCAGAGTCAGCCGTTTCCTGATGCCGTCAGTGGTGCAGAGCGCTGTGAAGCGTCACCGAGCCGACTGCATCTTGACTGACAGCTGAGTCGCAGGCTATCTGATAACTTCAACCTTCAATTAAATGCTATCTGTGGCTTTGCGTCTTTCCCAAGCTCACACACACACGCACACGTGCACACACACACACTGACAGGCAGCTGACTGACACCTCTGCATGTCGTTTCTGTTGACCTTCAGGCATCCGATAGAGACAGAGACGCACTTAAAAGACGTGTCGCACATCCCATTTTCTCCCTTGTGTGTTTGTATTTGCCAACTGTTAAATACTCGGGTGGGTTGTTGGCAGTAAGAGATGCTTAGGAGGGAAAATACACACATGCACCCACAGACACCGTCTCTGTTGTGCTGACTCTGTGAAATGGGACCCCTCATTTAGATGTAGGGTCTCGAGCAACTGCTAAACAGGACGGTCTGACCTCTCGCCAGCTTAAAAAGGCCTCAAAGAAGAGAGAGTGATCACTTATATGGATGAGTCAGAGCTGTGCAATAGAGTTCTGGTGCTGGTGTTTGTCTGGTGTTTAGGGGGTTGTCATGGTACTTTAGGTTGTTTGCCTCGGTAATGGAATCCCTTTAAACCCCCTCCCACCCAACATTTCCCCTCTTCTGCTCCGCCCGTCGCCTCTAAACTGAAAATCCTAAGCAGTAGATTTGTTTGATGCTCCATGCAAGTCTATACTTTTTTCTTTTTCTTCTTGTTCATCAGTGTATTAAAGCCAGAACAAATGTTTTCATCAACTTTGCATTTTCTCCTACATTAAAAACTTGAAGCGGTGCTTTCTCTAAGTATAACATGCTTTACAGAATAGAACAAAGGTACAACGGGACATTAAAACAGGAAATGAGATAAAGTGTGAATATAGGATGCGATTATATGAATAGGTAAGCTCAAACTGATATCATAAAGAATATTAAAAACCGTTCTGGCTTGTTGGTATTTTCTTTAAACCCATCTTGGGTTGCGCTAAGCACAGGATGCAGCGACGGTGCAAAGCTTCATTGCTCGGTGATGCTTCACTTCGACCGCAATGCACAGAGATTTGTGAAAAACCGGGAAAAAAACCGAGGCTCTGATGATTTCAGCTGGCAGGATGTCCTGGACCTTTCTGTTTCACTGCAGTAAAATTGCCCGGACCAAACCAGCCAGTTCCCTGCGCGGGGAAAGTCATTAAGCTTGTTCCCATGAGGGTGTCATCACTTATCATGCCAGCTCCTGATATCCTGCTGACCCCCTTAAGTCATTACCAGAGTCCTGGAAATGTACCGCCCCACGCCTCACCTCACCGGTGGAGCGGCAGAGTGGAGGATTTTTTTTTAATATCTCTTGCTACCCAGCCATGCGCGATGATGATAATTTGATGAACGGATGGTCTTCTAGTTAGATATTTGATGAGGAGGGCAATTACAGTGATAATTTAAACAGAGATGACTCTATTTGTTGTAGTCGGTTAACGTGATGAAGGGCAACGGGGTAAACTGTTAGATGTGTATAACCGCTGTAATGGCAGTGATTGCTCGCATATTACAGAACTTTAAGTAAGCTGCGTTTAGCGCTCATTTGGCCAGTTGGTCTCTGCAGTCGTTAGACGAAGGATGGAAGGACAAAGGAAGCAGGACAAAGGAAGCGGGTTTAGCACACAGAAAGCAAAGGCTGCACCAGGGACAGAGTGTTGGCACATTCAGCGTCTGTGTGCACAGACAAGATCCCACTGATACAGGAGTTTTGAAAGTATCGCATAAAGTATATACATCACTATTGATTCTTATATTCCTGGCGAAGATCTCCCCTAGGCTATTTAAGAGTTGTGATGAAGACGGGTAGTTAAGCTGTAAAATGAAGATGCAAATGCAGCTGAATAATAGAGACGACTGTCAGGTTGGAAAGGCCTTCTTGTTTACCTGTATGAATCCGTTTGGCTGGTGTATGAGCCAAAGAGGATGACGCTTGGCTTATGACTGATCGGTTGAAGCAAGTGTGACTTCAGTGCTTCACATGAACTAATGCAATTCTCCATTAGAACGATTGAATATTGCCCAGGCGTGAATCATCTAAAGTAGATTTGGTTTTCCTCCCTCCTCTGGGTGAGATTGTTGCAGATAAAGACTTGTGGTTACCAAACACTCAACCGAACACCGAGAGAGAGACTGAATTTTATTAAGTGTCTCCCTCGTCATTTATCTTCTCTCTGCAGCTGGTTTATCCCAAAAGTTTACAAACTTTGCTCCGTGCTTCCTCCGCTCATGGCTTCCAAACCTCCAGCCGACATCAATCTCTACGCTTTCCATCTTCTCCGTCTTCCCTCCTCTGTATTTTTCACCCTGCCTCCAACCCCAAAATAAACCCAAACGGAATTATCAAAGGAGCCATGGATTAGGCGCTAAATGCTGGATGTGCTGAATAGAGCGCTTTGAAGTCTACAGGGCTTTGAGGCGAAAATGTCACCGTTGGAATCTAAGTCTAATTTTGACTCCTTCATCGCCCCGGCCTCACCTCCTCCGTCCCTCCTGTAGGTAGAGCATGCTAACTGCTGTAGGTTAGGCACTTGTGTGCTCCTTCCCTTTCCTCCAGTCCGTTCACTGTGTGGAGAAGGTATGTGGAGCTGCTCTGTCTGTGTGTGTGTATTGAGGGTAGTATAGTGGGGGATCAGGCCACAAAGCGAAGGTAAGTAAGATGGATTATTTGAACGATGGAACATTTCCACCCAAAGATGAATGAGTGATGAAAGGCGGGCAGCCGGCTGGTGGCTAAGGGGGTCGCTTGCACATAGGACGGCCTGTACACGGAAGAGGAAATGCAATATCCTGTGTTCCAAGACAAAAAGGAAAAAGGAAGCCTGCTCAGTTTCCAGACGCTATGAATGGACACAGCAAAGAGGAGCAGCGTTCAACTCGGTGCTGTCTTTGAACCCTCCGAAGACTAACTTGAAGTGAAATGACATGGAAAGTATCTTAGGTATGAGGAAAAGGAGAGTTTTGCTGTGATAAATGGTGAGCCATCACTTTGGTATCAGCTGTTTCACAATGATACTTGTAACATGATGCGAGGGTTAGAATGGAGTGAGTGGGAGGAACAGGAGGAAGATGGCCGTGCCTGGTACAAACACAGATTCCAGCGTGCTTTGAGACATCGCACTGAATGAACCGTTCCTCATTTCCATAAGCCCAGCGAGGCCGGCTAATAAGTGATTGGTATTCTTCTCCTGGCCCGGCCCCGCTCTTCGATAAGCTCTGCGCGCACAGTCGGAGCCCTCAGCATGATCTCATTTCCTGTCTCACCACCACCACAAACAAACGCTGTCAAAGGCACAATTGTTCTGCTTTCCTGAGCATTGTTGGAGAAACTGTTGTTGTTTCTCAGTTGTTCACACAGAAACAAACCACAATGCACGCGCACACGAACCCATGCGACAATCGGCTCCAGGTGTTGAGGGTGTGTGCAAGAGTTCACTCCATACATTGTGCTTTCACACGCACGCACACAGTGGCATAGGCGTAGATATGCTCGCAACAAAACCCGCCTGTGGAGTAGCGATAACTGGTGCTAAACAAAGGCCCTTTAATGTCAGTGTAAGCCCTCGTCCTAGAGGGGGCTTTGTGTGTGTGTGTGTGTGCATCTGTGTTTGCACACAAAACTATGTTTGTATATACTGTGATTCTCTGTATTTGTGAATTTGTTTGGGGGGGGGGGGGGACTGACTCACACAGAGTGAGGAAAATAGTTTGTCCACCAAAGATCCCAGTGTCTCTAAACTCCTAATTCTTTAAATGAGTAAAGTAAATAAGAGTGCAGCAAAGAGAAAACGAGACTGCTGAAAGTTTCCTAGTCGGTAAAACACCAAGTTTTAGCATGTGTTCTGTTCACCAGATGAGTGCTGTGAGACAGTAGCGCCGGATTAAACAGAGCTGGTTGACATACTTATTGCTCTCCGTCTAAACATTGGGGAATCAGGCAGCAGTGTGTTTTTTTGTGGGGGGGGGGCATAACCATTGATTGTAACCATAACAAAAACAAGACATGGTGGTTTTAAAGACCTCACTCCTGGGAGCCAGTGGAGTTGATGTAACAGCAGAAATGGAGGAGAGAAAAATGTTCCCTTTTTTTTCAGTAAGTGCGTAAGGGGCTGGATAGTTTAGCAAGAGGAGGTGAGGAGCGGATAGTGTGTTTGGCAGAGAGGGCACTGTATCCATTCTACTCCTCTAGCTGTACTGAGCGGAGCTCCTGGCTGGCTCGATGGCCCTGCACCCTCCTGATAACTCGCCCTCTCGGCTCTCCGTTGTCTCCACATTCCAGTGGCTTTAAATGGAGGTCACCTTTTCTAACGGCATATCAACATCCTTGAGAATAATGTCAAACCCGCAGAGAGGGCCGTCGAGTACATTTAAAACATTGAGCTTTATTCCATCACTGAGATCATTTTGGCATCACTTCCATTAAGAGTTTCACTCTGAATTTCCAGGTTTTTATTATGAGGTTTTCTTGTTACAGTGCCAGATTGTGGTGAGATGCTTGAAGCACAAACACAGTCACTGGATTTGATGTGTGTTTGCGTTAGAATTCAGTTTGTGAGTAGAAGTTGTGGTAACTGCTTGGCCCTCCCACACATGTTTGGTGAGGTCGTGCACATGCCTCGGTCATTAATACACATCCATGTGGCCATAAAACCTGAGCCACAGGCACGCCTTCCCTAATCCTTTATCCCTGAGCGACCTCTCAGATAAAGTTCAGCTCTACGTCTAGAGTGGGAGAACTATGAGAATGTCGTGACAGTGTTGGCTCATAGCAGCTCCCCCAGTACTGGGGGAAATACAAGACATTTGTGGCATCGTCTCGCTAACCTTTTCTCTCTTTATTTCGCTCAGCTTTCCTCCATCAGGCCCCCTGCTCACTGTCAAGTGTAATTGTCATCAGCATATTCGTGTCCACAGAGAAATGCATTCCGCTGTCAGAGAGAGGCTGGTATTAGCAACAAAGCGAGAGAAGGGCAGAGAATAAAACATGTTAAAGGGTCTTTCTGTGCCATTTTGGCTTATTCTAACAAGCAGGCACCTCGTATTTTTAATCCGATATACTTCTTCCCTTACTCTTGTCTATTTGACTAAAGTGTGTGTGTGTGCGTGCGTGCGTGCGTGCGTGCGTGCGTGCGTGCGCGCAGTGTAGGAGCACCACAGCACCGCCATAATGCCCACAGCTCGGGGTTCACCCTTGTCTGCAATGGGTGCTGTGATGCAGACAGACGGCTCTCTCCTGTGCTCCTTGAGGCTGTGTGTGTGGGCGGGCCACCATGCATCGTTGGTGACTGACCTCAGAGGACAGGTGCCCCTACATCCCTCAGTAGGCGCACACACTCACAAATAGCCCCCGTACCAGTTTCCTTGATTCGAGTTAACCAACCAGACAGTTGCCTTGTGACAGAGACACACACACGCATAAGCCTGTGTAGCCGCATGCTACGGGGAGACTCCAGCATCTCTCCAGCCACAGGGTGTGTCTTTCCTGCACGAGACAGGCTACGAATGCAGGCCAGCCCAGTGACGGGGACAGGAAAAACAGCCCGGAGTTTTTGGACCGTCTGCACAAGTGTTTATTTGCGTAGTTTAGTGGAAATACACCAACATCGTGTCGAATTTACAACCCCTCTGTAATCATATGTGACTTCTCTGATGGCCTTTTGGATTTGTGTAGAGGCGTCGATGCGGTGGTGTGCATAAGCAGATGTGACTGTGTTTTAAGAATACAAAGCAGCTGTGTCACGGTTCATTTGAACACTTCAAGAGATGAACAGTTGTTGCCTCTTGTTGTTGAGGTAAAGCTATTTCAGTGAGCATTTGAATAATTCAGTTTTGGAAATATGCTTAAGTATAAATTTTAACAGTGTTGGACGATCTTAACCCATCGTGCTCTCCACCAGATGCTTTGCACACTGTTTAGAAGAAAATAAGTGGGGTGGGGGGGGACTGTGCCCCCCCCCCTCCTCCTCGCCTTCTGTTTTTATTTTGGTTGAAAATTGTGTTGGGATTATTTCAACACATTTTCCCTTTATCCCGTTGGAAGCCAGTTTCAAGTGGAGAGGATTACGACGGTAAATACGCTTCCTTTTGGTGCAAAGCTCCAAAGCCACTCACCAGTGAAAGGGGGCCTTGATAAGAAAATTGTGTCAAGCTCACTACCTCACCTCAGAACTCGCCTCCCCCTCAGCACCCTTCCGACTCCATTTTCCACTTGCTTTCCTCCCCCCTTTCCCACCCAAACTAATTCCCAGTAGTTAAAATGTTCTATTCAAGAGTTTTTTCACATTTCGTCGCACAAGCCAACTCCAGTATAGCCTGTGGTTGGAAATCAAGTCGGGCAGATAAACGAAATGAAACCACTCAAAATGAATCTATTAGGTAGTAAAAGAATTAGGAGCTGGAAGCTCTGGAAAGAGGAATCTTTGTGTTTGACTTTGTGTGAGTGTGTGCACATAATACTGTCTACTGTCCCGTGTTGAGCAAATGCAAAATGGACTTGACCATTTGTATTCAGCCCTTGCTATTGATACTGACGTCCTGTTAAATCCTGCTCCATATTCACCGGTTTGTTTCTCTCTCTGTATATGCAGTATAACTTTGTGGGGAGAATCCTGGGCCCTCGTGGACTCACAGCCAAGCAGCTGGAGGCAGAGACGGGATGCAAAATCATGGTGCGAGGCAAGAGCTCCATGAGAGACAAGAAGAAGGTAAGCTCATCATCAGTGTGGCAGAGCGCCCAGTGTGTTTAATGCCTTTTATCCCTCCATATTAATCTTACTCAGTAGATTCCACTCACACAAGTAAAAAACTCCATTATTTTACCAATGAAAAACACACTAAAGCTTCACCCTCCGTGTTGAGATATGAAACAATAATGTAAAACTTACTGGGACTGCTGTCCCACTTGCACCGCAGAGACTTGAGACGGACACATGCTCAGTTCATGTGGCTGCACTCTGACATCTGATACGGCTGTTTGCAAAACGCGTTGCAGTGGAAAGTACAGATGGCAGTAGGGCCAGGGACGGCCTCTATTTCTGGACCTGCTGGGCTGAGGTTGGAGACTCAAAAGGTTAATGTTGCGTGTGTACGTATCCTTAGACTCAAGGCGTGAACTTAGGCAAAAGTTATTTTATCTGCATTTGCACAATAATCGCAAAGTATTTTGGCCTTTAAACAGCATTTAAAAAACCTGAGACTGACTATGTCGCAAAACAACGCTGATGAACACACTGTGCTTTGTTGTCCTGTGTTGCCCCACTATCAGGCCATCCTTGCAGTAGTATTTGCCGTAGTATTTTAAGCCTACAATGTGTACTCTACAGCAAACACAGACTTGCACGCATATCCTCACTGGATTCCAACGTGTGCTTGATCTGATGATGTACTTTGAAGTTACTGTGAGGACAAATTGACGGTTACGAAAAAATCTGCTATTCCAAGCGTCTGTGTCTGCATTGCCCATGGGTTTCAGTTGCGTTATAATGGCTGCTTTTGTTTGTTTTTGTTTTTCTTCTTTGTTGAATGACACCTTTTTGAAGTTGCATCTCTGTTCTTAAGTCTCTCCCTTTCTCCCCCTAGTTGCTCTGATTTGCCAGGCAGTGGTGCTACACTACAGTGCATTTCCATAAGTCAGAAGAAGTGTATTTCATCCTTCTTGATATGGGAATCACCTTCTCCACACACACACACACACACACACACACACACACACACACAGTCCGCAGTGCATACACAGATATACACAGATTTTTAGCTGAGTCATAATCTTGGAAGCTCCAGTTTGCTGCAGGGCCAGCATTTTCTTCCCTTTTTTTTTCTCTCCATTTGTCTTTTCATTTTTTATCTCTTATCATTTCCCTCGGAGTGTGTTCGTTATCACAGAGAAATGAAGATACTCCTGATGTGGTTCTTTCTTTTGAGTTAGATCCAGAAATAGTCAGATGGAGAATCTGTCCATGATCAAGCATGTCCAGATTCTCTCGCATGCATCGGGAGTTGGCCTTAGCTCGCTTCATGAATCTATGAATACCATAATCATCTTTTACCATTTGGAAACTTAATGACGTGTGCCAGTTTGTTTGGGCGGGACATGTCAAAGGCCCTGGGCATTTACTACGCTAATAAAGGCCCCGTGCAGTTAAACATTAATGCAGAAATACCGCTGAGCAGGGTCATGTATTTAATCTGTGGTTTGATTATGAGATGAGGTCAGGGAATAACTCAATATTTAATAAATAGTTTCATAAATAGTCCTGGTTGCTTGTTTTTTCAAGGTATGAAGTAAATGGGATTTATTTTTTTTAAGGTGGCAGACTGGGTTTTAGTACATCCATATAATAAATGATTGTGTCAGCTTTCCACACAAGGCTTTATATTCTTAACTGTCCTCCATTAAAATAACATTTTCCTTCCTCGCTGCCTTTCTGTCCCTTACCTCAGACTACTTTGGTGTCTGGTTTAGATATTTACAGCAACGACGGGTTAAGCTGAACAAAAACAAAGCATCCACTGGTCGGCCAGTTTTTTTTACATCCTTTGTTGTCTCCGATGTCAATGAATCTCTATCGGGTTCGCTCCCCGTACCCCAAAAGCTTTTGGATGGCCAGGTTGTCGCAGCCTCAGACGCAGCCCCCGATCGCTGCAGCCTCCACCTCCGTGTTTCCAGCCTGATGCCCTGTGGCAGCAGAGGAAGCCGCGGGAGCAGCTTAGCCACTGTGTTTATTCAGGATCCATTAGCGGCAGCGTTTTTATGCTCTCAATAATTCAGCTGGTTGCTCCCTCCTGGGCCGCACTGCCTGGCGGGGAGTCGGCTCACTGGAGCTATGCGGTGGGAGAGAGGCGAGCAGAGACTGAGAGGGAGGGAGAGAGAGAGAGAGAGAGAGAGTCAAGGAAAGAACAATGGCGAGAGAGAAAGGAAAAAAAAAAAAGCACATTGAGTAGACAATAAGGAGGCAAGAAGCAAGTGAAGAGAAAAATACGCTACTTAAAGAATATAATGCTTTTAACTATTTTCTGTTTATACTATAATAAGAAATGGTGTCTGGTATTACTGTAGCAGCTTGTTTTATTTGAGCAGGCCACCATTTTAACAAAGATTAACTCAATTTAATGTTTTTTGTCACCACCATCATGAGCCTCGGTCACTGGAGCACAAGCATAGGAACTTTGTTTTTAGATGCCAACAAACTGTCTTCAGTCTGTATTCTACATTACACTAATACTGTATGTGCATATTTGGTTTAGAATATGGCGAGAGACCCAAGCCGAAATATACATTTCTTTAATCATTTAGGTAGTGATATAACAGTCGTGATCCCAGTATGAAGTCGATGAACTCACCCGTGCATCGGCAGGACTGCAGGATAACAAGCCGTCTCCAGACTGTACTCTACACTCTGTTACCCTAATAATAAGGTGCCTGTGAGAGGGAATCCATAAGTGCAGCTACATCCCTGTAATGTCTCCGGATTGAGACTTTTTGACACATTTGTTGAGACAGGATGGATCAGACACTATTGCCATGGGAAGTACTTCTTTTACGGTGTTTATGACGCCACTACACTCAATGCTCTTCCAGTCTCTTTTTCTTTGTTGTTAAATCTTGTAAAGTCTTTAGTTACTGCCCAAAGGGGTGGAGCTTGCATGTTACGTCCTTTTTGATGATTATTGTCTAAACAGTTGGAAGGAAAAAAGGACTCCTCCCGGAGCCTTATTCCATTCGAACTTTTATATAATGTGGCAGCTTGAGTCCCCCTGGTATTCACGCTTAATACCAAACAACATCAAGAACAACAGCAATTAAATTACAGGTATGTTATATCGACCAATGCACTTGTAGTGTAGGGATTTCCCTCCCTTTTGCAAAAACAATTCCCTAATTGTATTATAGCTGCCACACAGTGTGAGATTACAGTTAGCACCACAGACAACTGTTTTACATTAAGCCAAACTAAACCTGCACTCTGAGGAATCCTTTATAACAGATGGAATTCCTCTTGATTTTTTTGTTTTTGTTTTTTTGCTGATTGTCCTGGCACACATCACATATTGTGGCATCAGCACAGTCACTGGCAGAACAGAATAGGCCTCAGGTTTTGGATCTTCATCCCCTGCCAGACTACAATGTGACATTACCGATCGATACGTTGAACTTGATTGGCCTGTTGGCACTGCAGCCCGCCCACTGGTTTTGTTTAAAGTTTAAGCTGACTTTGTTGTTTTCTTTCTTATCTCCTAGGTTCTGATTACTTGACCCAGCGCAACTGAAAGCTATTATATTATTGTGAAGAAAGAAAGACCCAGTTGTTACTTTTGATGCAGTGGTTAAGGACACATAGATGGCAAATAGCACCCGGTTTATTGGCCCCTAGAACATTCCTTTTTCACACAGGGCAAGGGCCGAACATTTAGGTGGCCTGTTCAGGATCGCCCTGTGCAGATCTCCATCGGTCCCCTTTGTACTTTAGATTTAGACTTTCCCCTTTGTGATATATTTTATAAAAAGAGATCAAAGTCATCAATCTTACTAGTGAATACTTTAAATGTCAAGATTTTAGCAAGTTATCATTTAATTTATTATATTTTATATTCCTTTGTCATTACCATTGGTCTACAGCCGCCCTCTCCTCGTCCTCCTGTGCCCCTGCAGCTCCCTGCTGCAGCTGTTTGCTGTGCTGGCATTTAGCCTCAGTTACATTGACCCCGACTGGGAATGTCCTTTAGGATCAAAGGAGAGGGGGAGACTCCCAACATCTGAGATTGTTAAAGAGCAATACTGCAGGGACAGGCGAAATGATGGAACCAACAGCATCAGTAAAGTAACACGTGAACAACCAGAATGAACTGCCACTCTTTTTTTAGTACAACCTATAAAAGGCAGGGAAAAAGACAGCCTTCTGTATTTGTCACCTTTTTGCATGGGGTGTCATCCATGTTGAGAATTGCGGCCATGAGGTTTATTGGGCTCAAACTGAAGTGTGTGTGTGTGTGTGTGTGTGTGTGTGTGTGTGTGTGTGTGTGAAAGCCAGCAGGCAAACAGGTGCTGTCCAAGCCATGGAAGTCAGGCAGCATAAGTGGCTCTGATCCTATTCTTAGATGTTCTCTCTAGATGCAGCGTACGTGCTATTTATTCATGCCACATATTTTTACCAAAACCGATTACCCTCCAGTATGTGGTGATAGCCGTGGCATTTGATGTGCGCCAGCATGGACATTCTCTTCAAAGGCCTTGCCAGCATTCCCTTTAGTGCTCTTCTCGCCTCCCCTCTCTGTTCTCCCCCGTCCCCCCTGTTTGTCATGCTGTCACTTTCTCTCAGAGGGCACACAGTGACCTTGTTCACAGGCAGTCATGCTGGTGTGTGTGTGTGTGTGTGTGTGCGTGCGTGTTTGTGTTTTTCCAGATCTCTTTGCCCACAATCCTAACTAAATCCAAATCTGCCAGAGCATTGGCATGCACACTTTACGTGCACACACACAGTCATGTGATCTTGTCGTGGGTCCAACTTGGCAACAATCTGTCAATATGTTACGTTTATGTATCTACAATGTGCTTTCAGAGGAAGCCCGTTATGGCCTGTCCGTCTGAGTCCCCTCTAGAAAATGCTGAGTCACCTTCTTGTCCCCCATGTCCCCTAATAGGCCATAAGCAAACAGCCATGGTGAAATAATGGCCTGACTGCTGAAACTAGGCTCTCCCCCCTGTGTAGAAAAGGGGAAAACGAGAGTGGAATATTGAACTTTCGTGTGTGTGTGTGTGTGTGTGTGTGTGTGTGTGTGTGTGTGTGTGTGTGTGTGTGTGTGTGTGTGTGTGTGTGTGTGTGTGTGTGTGTGTGTGTTGTAAAGAGCAGTGCCATGGCAACAGGTCTCTGTGGAGTAGAAAGCAGGAGGGTGGCACTCTGTTTAAGGTGTGTGTGTGTGTGTGTGTGTGTGTGTTCCCCTCTCACTCCGTGGTGCTGGTTGAGTGTATTGAAATCATGTCAGGTGGACCCCCTGCAGAGCACTGCAATGCATCGTTAATTAGACACTCTAACACTTCTCACAAATGAGCAGTGATTTTTAGTTGGGGTGCTTTGTATGGGTGGAGGTAAACAACACAACCTGAACAAACCTGCACCAGCAGCAGGAGACTCTGACCTCCTTTTTGAAAAAGTAAATCACAATTCTGATTTTTAGTTTCATTTTGTCTTTATCAAATCTGTCAAATATTATCATGGTAACATTATCCTGTCTTGCTGTTTTAATGTGGTGTCACACATCAGTCTGTTTCGGGTGACCTCAGCTCCTCACCTCAAGGGGAAGTAGTCTGCTTTCAAACCGCTGACTCTCATGGTTGTTCAGTGACATGAGATACAACCTCAAAGGCTTTTTAGAGTGCTCTCTGTGTCTGCGCACTGCATTTATTGTCAACCTGAAGAGGGTGGAACGTATCTACGCTAAATGGAGGTGCGTGTTTATAAAAAACAATTAAAAATACAAATGTGATCCTACTCCATATTTCTCTACATATCCCATTTTACCTTTCCACAAAAGAGTCGGGTTTTGACTTTACATGTGTGCTCCTGAAAGACGTAAAACATTGGGCACCATTTACCAACCTCAGTCTTCCCGATTCAAATCTTAAAACGGATTGAAAGCATTTCTGAATACAGCCCATTTTGCCTCTCAGGTTCTGCTAGCACTAGAATTTGGCAACCGCTGAGTGCTTTGGCGCAGCCTTTTCAGGTGGGAGAACAACTCCCCCAGGGAGCTTTTGTTACCTGGACAGTATTGTCCACGCAAACACAAGTCAGCGCACCTTCACACACACAATCCTGCGACACTTTGAAACCGTATCATAATTCCATGCATACCATTTAAATTAGTGTGGATTAAAAGCATCCCCAGCTATCTCTCTCTGATCCGTGCACCCATCCATCTTTCCACTGATATTAATTGCTGCAGGGCTCGCTGTCGTCTCTGTGAAGCCAGGGATCTATTAAGGAAGGGTGTCCTTTCAAAGTTAAAGCTTAAATAGCTGACTAAAGGACCACTCCTGTCATTCTGCCTCTCTTCACAGGGCCCCGTTGTCCTCTGTGTACGCCTGCCTCTCTCCTCCGCTTCCTCTGATATGCTGTGTTACTGCACTGGTGCTCCAACACACTCTCGCATTCACTCACCATCTCTTTCTCTCTCTCGCTATCTCTTGTCCAGGAGGAGCAGAACAGAGGGAAGCCAAACTGGGAACACTTAAACGAAGACCTTCATGTCCTGATCACAGTGGAAGACACACAGGGCCGAGCCGAGATCAAGATGAGGAGAGCCGTGGAGGAGGTCAAGAAGCTCCTTGTACCTGCTGTGAGTACATATACACAAAATCATGCACAATAAGTTATTTAATGCTCTGCACAAGAGCAGTCGTTTTCGGCTCATATGTGTTATTGCTGAGAGAGACTTTTCCATGATCTTGGACCAAACAAAAAGATATTCTGGCTACATATGAAACACCCCCGCTTATCCCACTGTCGGCATCCTGTTTACTTCCATATATAGACGAGGAGAACATGTTGGCCGTACCCCCAGCGGAGTGGAAACACATAGCTAGCTGTCCTGTGACTGCCACACTCCATCTCCGCCCTCCCCCCGCCTCGACTTCCTCACACACTGAGCCACCGGTGATGGATGCCGATAGTCTTTCTGGCATACAATTTGTTGTTTTTTTCCTGTTTACCTGTGGTGACCAGGTGGACAGGGCAGCTGAAGGCCCAGATACGCCATCAGGTGGCAACGCACGGGGCTTGGTGGTCTGCGGAAACAGGGCCAGCCAATGTCCCAGCATGCAAGGTTAAACATGAGACGCGCTGTTGTTAAGCTGCTCTCCTTCATGCCCTTTATCCTGTTAATACAAAACGATGTTTACACATGTACTTCATTTACATTCTAAAGGACAATGTTTGCACTAGATGTAGCTGCATTACAATTTATCAGCATATATAACTTAGTAGAATTATGACTCAAACGCTGGGTAGGTGACACCTCAAGGAAGATGAGCTCCTTTAATTCTAAACAAGAAGGGGCCAGGAAGGAAATGATAGCACATGAACTGTAACATTTCGTTTCGCTCATCGGCACTGCACTGGTTATGGGTGTAAGACCTGACACGAGGTGCCATCATGCCGGGATCTCCTGTCTAGTCTGATCACTGCTCCCTGTCTGTCTTAGCGAGGCCTGAGCCCAGCCTGACGATGTGGAAAGCACTTCAATTCATATCTTCTGTTGTTAAGAATTGCTCGTCTCTACTCGGCCTACTCGGCACTTCTTTTGGGCACTTGTTTTGTTTCAGAGAGCAGGAGTGTTTCAGATCTCCACAGCCTGTATGCACACACAGGATGTCGACACACAACTGCACACACACTCAAGTATGTGCATGCACACACAAAACTTGAGGATGAAGCCGTCTCTGGAAGCAGTAGCGTAATGCAGATTGAGTCACTGTTCACACTTGTGTACACACACACACAACAAAACCCCTTTTGGCATCCTTTTAAGTTAATGACAGCTCTTGGCGACGAACACTCATCAGAATGGAGTGCCACAAAAATAGCGTCCTCACTTCTCTTCAAATCTCTGTTCGTTTTGCAGCCTTCCAGTTGCTTCAAAGACGGTCTGTTAATACAGTACCTGAACCATTTATTGGGTGGAGGAGGAGCTCTCTTTTATTCCTCACACGCAAGAAAGCAGCTTCAAGCTCTTTTGAGACACTCGTAAAGAAAATGTTCTCATAAAAAGTTTCACTCTCCCCTTAATTCAAACAAGAGTTTTATAGAGGTAATTAATGACCCATTGCAATCCACCAGAGGCCATTTTCCTTCAAGCATTCTTTGTTCATTCTAATGTAATGAAAAGATCCTTCCATTAGATAGGCGATCTGTGAATGCTTCAATTATCGAGGCACTAACAGAAACAGGTGCACGTGTCTCTGGTTATATACATTCCGAACATTAAAACCTTTCACAGAAAGTACATTTTCAATGAATAATTGCTTTCCCACTTCCCATGGCTGATCAGAAAGATAAGCCATGTTTAGGTTTGTATTGTAGATCTGACCTTTCATTCTGCTTACATAAGGGGCCGCACACTGAACCCATTACCTCAGTGGCCTGGCACTGGCGTAGGGTGGGACAAATGCATTTCACTAGAAGTGGCATAGTGTCAGTAAGTGTCCAGTAATCCCGTCCCTGACTGCTGGTGCATCATCCAGCCATGAATCCCTGAGGGCAATGTATTTCCTTCATGTTGCGTGCATGCACACATGAGTGGGTGGGCAGCAGAGCTGGCTGGCAGTAATGCCCTTTATCATACTAAACTGGATGGGATTAAAGTATGGACACGCCGGGAACGCACTGTTATAATGAAGGGCATCTTCTCCACGTTCGCCAGTGTAAAATCTCCTTTATTAAATCTCACAGGAAACAAAATGTGAGGTTATGCTTTTTTATTCCCTTTTCAAGTAACCGGCTTTACTTGTCATTGAGGAGGACTCAGCTGCAGCAATTAAACAAAGAGGGAGAATAGAACCATAGTATGTATGTTGTAGGTTGAGAAAATATTGAATATTGTGTAACGCCCTGTCAATTTTATGGTTGCTCCTTACTCGGCGATTGACTGACAGTTGGAAGAGGTGGTGATGGGAAGTGTAAAGGTTCCCAGTCCCTCCTCTTTTGCCTCTCTAGCGCTCTTATGCTCCCTAGTCCTGTGAACTCTTCAACTCCCCGTGAACTGGGAGCATCGGCGAGATATGAGAGAGAGAGAGAGAGACGGGTAAAAGAGCTTGATTGAGCTACACTTTCAAGTGTGGATTTACTCCACTGATCCTGCCCTAGTCCATACACACACTGAATAGCACACACACACATGGACACGCATGCCCAGACGAATACTTCCACATGCATGCACGTGCACACACACTCGCACTCACTAAAATGCTCTTCTCATCCCTTGAGTCCGTGGTTAAGGCCCTCAAACGGAGCCAGCAGCAGAGCCCCACTGCACTTTAGGTAACCTCCCCGCTCATATACTTGCAGAGCTGTGTGCATAAACCCCCGACTCGCCCGCACTACGAGCCCCTTCCTTCCTTCCTTCCTTCCTAGCCCCCAAGAAGGGCTAGAGAGCAAGAATGACTGACCTGTGGTCAGCTATTGCCCTTTGATTTACAACGGCCCCTGGCCAATTGTGAGGAGTGAGACCGAAAAAACCTGATTTGTGTATATGATTATGTACAATGATGTAACCATCACAATTAAGAATCGTCTCACTGACGACTTTTGTAAACAGAAAACCCACTGAAGTCCAATCCATCCGAATTCCCTCCATATGTTATTAATGATCTTCTGCTGAGTTGTACTCCCAATGTCAAACAATGTTTGGATGGTGAACACAGAACTTCCTCTGTTGTGCATTTAAGGGTTTCCCATAACTATACGACTTTGTTTTAAGCTGGCCTTTGGCTGTAGAGCCATTTTAGTGTTATTAATTATCAATCAAGGCCTAACATGAAATACAGCAGAGGCACAGGCAGTAATCATTCACTTAAACCCACTATGTGTACTTCTTTTTTTTTTTTTTTTTTTTATTTATTTTTTTTTAAACACAGCAGTTAAGATGTTGTTTGCCTTGTGTTTTCGTTTTGTAGGTGATGAGCAGCAATGTGATCACTCAGTATGACTGCTTATTCGGATCTATCAGAATCCTCTCTCGCTGCCAGAAGCTATCGACAGGTGTGACGATGGATAGAGGACACTGAGCTCGTGTTTGTGTCATCACATACATTTGGCTCCGTTTGGGTGCATTTCAGTTGTTGTGTGTGTGTGTGTGTGTGTGTGTGTGTGTGTGTGTGTGATTGACTGACAGGCTTACTCACTGGACATTGTTATGGGTATGATAAATTCTCATTGGTCCCCTCGGGTCACTGCACTGTATGATGGGCTTATGGGAAAATGACAGGCAGACAATTGGACAAGGCCATCTGACAGCAGACAAAGGCCTTGTCCTGAGGTAACCCAAAGGCACCTTTTCCTATTAGATATGAATGTGTGTTTGCATTTTGCTTTTAGGCACTTCTAAATCTCACCCAAGTATAGTTGGATGCAGTGTTTATTTTAGGGATGCATTAAGGAGTCCTTAGATTTGTATCTAACTGAATTGTCAGTGGACAATGGCTTTGCCCTTTGCATTATTTTCAGTTAAAATGTTGCTGATCTAGAAAATGATGCATATAATTCTGTTGCATTGCACACTGCAGGTGGTTAAAAAAAATCCCAAGCAGGCAAAATCCTAAAATGTGAATGTGTCTACATTCTGAGCATGGCGAGGACTGAAGTCACGCCATGCTGTTTAAGTTATGTGAGATTGCCTGATAACGAAAGCTCCAGACAACAATGTTTATGTTGCTCTACATCTGAGTCAGTGCAGTGACAGCCAGCACTCGCCGCAAGGTATCTACAGTACATCAATCGAGGTGCGCACACACACACACACACACACACACACACACACACACACACACACAGCACCTGGAAAGCAGGGAGGGTTGGGTTTGAAAGGAGAACGGCACACAGAGAAAGAAAGAGCTCGTTGGTGCAGGATCACTTTGGCCCCGGAGAGCCACGTCTCGCTGAATGAAACCGTCATTGCTGAGAACAAAGTGAGCGCGGTAGCAAACCGGCGGCCTCCAGCACTACTCCGTTTCAACACGTTGGGAGCCCAGTCCTGCAATCTGGCTCCAGCTGACTGCTCCCTGTTGTGCTCCCCTAACTCCTTCTAGTGCACCTTTTTTAAGTTCTGTTTTTGGCATTTCTTTTGTAGTTCTAGTGCACATTATGATTATGAGATGGTTTCATCGCTCCACTTTGTTTTTTCACTTTTATAAATGCCTTGGCAGTGGATAGCAAAGAGAGAGCCCTCCATCCCTTTCTGTGTTTGGCTGACCAGGCGCATTGTAGTGCTTCAAGGCCAACACACAGTTTCTCTTTTTGGGCAAACCTGTCTGCCGGCCCCCTTTTTGTTCTCATTCCCGTCTCTCGCTCCCCTGAGCCTTCTGTGTCTCCTCATTTCTCTTTCGTCTCTCCTCTTTCACTCTATGGACCACCTTCATGGGAGAACATGCACTAGAGGGTGTTTTTGTAAAAGCAAGACAGATGGACCTCAGTGGTCGCCAAGTTTGGCGATCTGCGGGGTGTTGCGTCTGTACTCGCCAGTATGCATCCGGCTTGGCAGAGTGCTACAATGGTACAAATACCAGAGCCACTCGCATGCACAGAGAGACGGTGGTGCAGAACAAGCAGAGCTAGATTTAAACGATGGAAGTCTGTTCTAGGCAGCAGTGTGCCGATTTTGCAATCAATAAACACCTCTTTTTGGTTTTCTTTGCTTTTTAGCTCTCACTCTGTCCTCCCCTCTCTCTCTCTGTCAGCAGTGTATGACAAATGAGTACAAAACACCATCTGGCTGCATCCTTCCTAGTGTGCCTCCCCAATTAATGATGTTTATTCTCTGTTAGGCCTACCTATCACTACCATTCTCTTATTTACTCCTGTTTACCTCTGTCATGCATAACATCCAGCCATATCCATAAGAACAGAAGCTCACATTTTCCATTGAGCCTCATCGGTTGGTGCATGCCATTGACTGTGCTTGGCGCACATTATGTTAGCGCTTCTAAAGGCAACGGTCTAAAACGGGTGTTTGTGAGATTGTGTCTTTGGTTCCTGAAAGGGAAAACAAACTGAGTTGTGATGAAACTAGCTTGTGTGCTTCTATCGTCCCGGGAAATCTCCCCACCATATTGTTTTATTGCCTGTAACCGAGCAGCAAGGCCTGCAGTACAGCTGCAGAGTTAAGGCTGTGACAGAGACACACACACAACTGTTCTTATCCTATGCACTGTACATGTGTTCACATGCAAATGTGATGAATGACATACGTGGCTATTACATCACTATGCCAGCCACTTCAAGTAGGCTTTGAGGCCTTGCAGGTAGGCAGTAGATGGGTAGGTTCTCGTCAACCTTGCAGCCTCTCCGTCCCTGTAGGCTGTTACCTTCATCCGGCTAATGAAGGAGTTGGATTGGATCATATTAACCTCCTGATCTCTACCTCCCAGGACACCACAGTTACAACAGACTATTCACGTGTGTGTGTGTGTGTGTGTGTGTGTGTGTGTGTGTG